TCCCAGTGCCTAGAACGCAGCCTGACACAATGACTGATTTCTGGTAAACACAGGGGGCTCTGCCTTAAACTTTCCTTTGTCTAGCCCCACAGGAAGCCCACAAGACCACCTTCTGAGAAAGAGCAGGGAAAATACAGTTACTGGAAAGCCAGTTTCCCTAAAAGAGAAGAACAGAGGTGAAGTAGTGACAGGGTTTTCTAGCATGCGAGCAACTTGTTTCTATAAAGAACTGTCATCTTGTGAAGTGAATCACCAGAGGATTTGATCAATGAGCTAGAAATCTCCTGCACCTCCTCCCCCTGCCGCTAAAGATGTGATCCAGGGTCACTGGGGCAGTAATGGGAAAATACCAACCCATATCATTTCTCTTCATGGTTCAAAGGAAAAACTACATAGGAAAAGGAAAGGCAGAAGAAGAAAAGGAGACACTTGAAATGTCTATTCTTGCTTATCTTTCCTTCATTTTCATTGTTCTTTCTCCTTCTGACCTAGAATAAAATGAACCAGAAAATATTACAGAAAATAGGCTGTTCCTAGAGCATCCCATTTGGCCAAACAGGTGTTGGCATTCTGATGTGACAAATGAGCTTAGTGTCAGGGAAGGCAGTAGTTAGTGCTTGTAAATATAAAATGTTTTAAGATGTTAACATAATAAAATGTTCTCCAAAAAGTTAAATAAAGGAAAAGGAAAAGGAAAATTACTTATAATCCCACCACCACAGCAGAAAAGCTAGTAGTTTTGTATATTGTCTTCCAATGTTTTCTCATAGGCGTATACTTTGTCATTGTGGTATAAAAACCCCACAGCATGAAATTTACCATCTGAACCTTTTTTTAATATATTAAAAAAAAATTTTTATTGCTTATTATTTTCGGGAGAGAGAGAGAGAGAGAGAGGGAGGCTGAGAGCAAGCAGGGAAGGGGCAGAGAGAGAGACACAGAATTGGAAGCAGGCTCCAGGCTCTGAGCACCTAGGACAGGCCCTACATGGGGCTCGAACTCACAGACCGCAAGATCATGACCTGAGCTATAGTCGGCTGCCCAACCGACTGAGCCACCCAGGTGCTCCTCATCTGAACCATTTTTAACAATAGTGTTTTACTCACATTTTTATATACATGATATACTTGCACTTTTTGTTATCTGACTTTTTTTCTTATATTACCTATGTCCAATAAATCTTCCATGTGGCAAACTGGTCCACATGCTTGTAATTTTTTTTTTCACATGCTTGTAACTTTAAAGATGCATCCTGTTCTGTCCCATGACTAAAACATATTTTAGTCGGCCATTCTCCAATAATTGGACATTTATGTTGCTTACAATTTTTCTACTTAAAAAAAATATGATGAGCTTTCAGTGCATATAGTATTTTTCCCTTTAGTCATTTACAATCATCTTCCTATGATTTTCTAGAAGTTTTCTGAGGAAAATGAAGTCACAGGTGATGATTATTGCATGGTTTCTTTAAAAATTACAATGAATTTATTTTGCGAGTGACATATGAGGGCACCAATTTCAGCACACTCTCACCAACATTTGATACTTCTAATTTTTTTTTTTTAATTTTTTTTTTCAACATTTATTTATTTTTGGGACAGAGAGAGACAGAGCATGAACGGGGGAGGGGCAGAGAGAGAGGGAGACACAGAATCGGAAACAGCCTCCAGGCTCTGAGCCATCAGCCCAGAGCCTGACGCGGGGCTCGAACTCACGGACCGCGAGATCGTGACCTGGCTGAAGTCGGCCGCTTAACCGACTGCGCCACCCAGGCGCCCCTTGATACTTCTAATTTTGCTAATTTAATATTTTAAAATTTTTCTTTTTCTAACGTATATTTTTTCCTATATCTGTTTTCCTTGAGCATTTCCTCTGATGGGAAATGCCAGTTCATGCCTCTTGTGTAGGTCGGTTTTGAGAGACTGTCTCAGTATTTTTCTTATTCCTTTTCAAGGGCTGTGTATGTAGTAGAGGTTTTAACCCTTTATCATAACTGTAGTGAACATTTCCCCCATCTGTTTGTAATTTATTGTCATGCTCTCATCTATAGCAATTTAGCATTCTTGTACAGTTCAGATCTTTCCAGTGTGATTTCTCCTGTCGCGTTGTCTCAGAAAATTCTCTCCATGTTGTCTCATCCCAGGGCTTTACTAAAGAATTTAATTCTCTGAAACCGACCTGTTCCTTAAATGCTCACTGGTTAACCAAGATCCCTCCTTTATATTTGAGTAACGTAGGCTAGTAGGCCTATGCCTATAGGAAGAGTTCTGGTGTGCTGGGACCCGGATCCAGGCTCCGTGGGGAGCGAGGTGGAGGGCACAGCCGCCGCTGACCCAGGCTGCGGTGTGACTCCGCGGTGTGCGGTGTGCCACACAAGAGTGGCAATACCCAGAATGAAGGATGGGACTGCACCTAAATGTCCGTGCTTTCGCCTTACCCTTTCCCTTCCTAAACAGCATTGGGGAATGAAAGCACTTCTGAAAATTAAAGATCACATGGCCGGTAGGTTTTCCTATCTTGTTAGAGTCCTTATGTTTCCAGAAATGAAGGCTCCCAGTCGACCTACCGCAATGCATTTACTGCGCCCTTGGTGTGCGGAGCCCTGTCCTAGGAACATTGTGTGTATCCGTGTGGTTTGCAAGTAATAATAGCTCCGGGGCAGCCATGAGTTATGTGGCACGGTGGAAAGGATAAACGGGAGATGAGAAGATAAATCTAGGCGGATAACCGAATGTAGAGATGGCTCCGTTGTGGATTCTTGATGGTATGAGGGATACGGCACGGTCCCGTTGCACCCACCCTCAGTCCTCCCCGCTGCCTTGCACCTCAGCCCTGTGTCCAGTTGGTCGAAGCCCCTGATCCCACAGACAAGATCGTCCTGCCTCCAGCCAGGCAGTCAAGTTCACTCAAGGTGCGTCTCAAAGCTGTTGCCAGGGTCTTAAATCCTGGCGGAGAGCCACGTGCGCGGGACTGCGAGTCAGAAGTGCCCGCCCCCCATCCCTGCTGCTGCCCACGAGCCTGAAGACTTAGGCGACCGCAGTGGGAAGGCACATCTGACCTCTTGGTCCTGGTTCCCACCCGCCCACCTAGGTTCGCAGTTATCTTTCTTTCTCGGTGCAGACCACAAACCCGAAACCGCTTGTTTTGTTCTTTGCTGGGACCAAGAACAGCACTGCTTGACTCTGTATCTTTTCCCTGGCAGGCAGGTGGAGGGGAACGCGCCACACCTCCACCCCGTCCCCAGTTGGGCACTAATCCACTCATGTTAACTTGTAGGCAGAGCATCTGCCACTTTCATCTTGAAAAAGAAAGCATCAGAGGTTCAGATCCCCGAACCTGTCAATAGTGAGGTCCACCGCGGCAGATTCGCTCTCAGTCGCTCAGGACAACCTCCTCCCTCCCATCCCACACTGATGGAATTCACCCTCGGGGCCGCCCGGCCTCGCGCTCTCCCCCAGCCCGGCGGCGCGGGTGAAAAGGGACGCAAATGCCCCCCGCAGACAGGCCCTGGGGTGCCCGCGGCTCTCAGGGTGCGCAGCGGGACCCGGCAAAGCCGGCTGTCCCTCCCCTGGGCTGCGCCTCGCAGGTGGGTGAACGGTGGGTTGAGGAAGGAGTGAGAGTGGCGCCCGCGCGACCGGTCGCCGCGAAGAAAGTCCCGGAGACCGTGACCCCTGCGCGAGGGGGAGGCGGGGCCGGTGCGCAGGCAAATACCGAGATGGGACCGCTTAACAACCCCGCGCAAGGCCACCCCCTTGTGTTTCGCAGCCCGCGAGGTCCCCGAGAGCGGCCGGAGGACCCCAAAGGCTGCGCTGCGTCTCCCCGACCCCTGGGCGCCGCAGCGTCGCCCCTCGTGGGTGGGCTTCGCGTTCCCTCCCGGGTTTCCAAGCTACCACGTGACTTCCACGAAGTGCCGGGGCCCAGCGGAAAGCCGCCGCAGGGGTGGGATTTGGGACCCCGAGGTGCGGCGAGAGGGCGGGGAGAGGAGGAAACGGGGCG